AAAGCGCGGGTCCTCAATATCTCGCTATCGTCCAACGAGACGCCCCCTCGCCGCCATGAAGACCGCGATCGGCCGCGCGCGACCGCCGCGGGCATGATCATCGCCATCGCGGCGGGCACGACAGCGAGTCGGACCTCAGCCTCCCTGCTCAGATCGCCAACGATCCGAACGTCGCGCGCGGGCAGGTCATCATCGCGGGATCGGTGGCGCAGAGCGGCGCCATCTCGGCCTTCAGCAACGGGCCGGCCAGTCCGCTGCCCATTTCCCCTCGCCGCGCTGGGCGAACAGGTCGAGGCCCCTGATGCCACCGGCGTGCGCAAGCTGTGGTCGGCACCTCCCTGGCCGCGCTGCAGATCACCGGCGCGGCGGCGCTGTTGATCCAAGCCTTTCCCAATCTGCGGGTGCGCAGGTCGTCGACCTGTTGCTACGCACCGCACGCGATACCGGGGCGGCGGGGACCGATGCCGCCAGCGGTCGGGGAACGCCAGACCTGACTGCGGCCTTCCAGCCGGTCGGCGGCATGAGCGTGGCGGGGGCTGGCGCGCCCGTGTTGATGACGACCAAATAAGGCTGTCCGCCATGGGCGATGCGACGGCCGGGGGACCTGCGCCTCGGGTCGCGCTGGACAGCTATGCGCGCCTATGCCCTCGACCCGTCCGCCACCGTCGCCCAGACCGGCCCCTGCCCTATCCTCGCCACTCACATTGCTCGGCCAGATCGATGGCAAGACTCTGTCCGACGGCACCCGGACGATCGGACTGACCAGCGCGATCGTGCAGCCCGGCGAGGCGCGGCTGCGCGCGATCGCACCCAGCGATCCGGCGCCCCAGATTGCCGGATCGTCGCGGGCACGATGACCCGTGCGGTCAGCCCGCGCACGATGGTCGGCTTCGGCTTTGCCAGCAGCGGCGAGGCGCTGGTCGCCGGCTGGACGGGACAGGCCGGCCCTGCTTTCTGACCAGCGATCCCGGTTTTTTGGTCTGACCGCGCCCCCCAGCCCTCGGCCGCTTACGCCAGTGGCTGGGCGGCGTCGGGTCAGCGTATGATGGAGAGCGGACGCTTCCCCGCCGCCGTCGCACCCGGCATGGAAGCTCCTGCCTATGACCAGATGGCGGTCACGGTGGACCGCCGCGTCGGCAGGATCGCGACCAGCCTGACCGCCTCGCGCCCCGCCGAGCGGTCGACGGTGCTGGGCGGCTGGTTCGCTCGGCGCTGGGCCAGCGCGCGCGACGAGTTGGTTCGCCAGAGGCTGCCGCACGCTGGCAGGACGATGGCGGCTGGTCGCTGGGCGGGCGGTGGCGGCGCGGCTGGTCGCTGGCCGATGGCGCAATGGGCGGCGGGTCGCTCGCCAGCCAGAGCTGGTCGGTCGAGGCGGGCAAGGCTGGGCTATTCGGCGGCGACCGGATCGATTTGCGCGTCGCCCAGCTGTTGCGCGCGTGATGGCTGGCGGGTCGACCTGCGCCTGCCGATGCACTGGGACTATGCCGGCGGCCGCGTCGATGGCTGGGACGCGCACCGCCTGTCGCCGTCCCCCGACCGGGCGGGAGTTGCTGTTCGAGGCGCGGCACGCAGTCATGATGGGTTCCGGGCGAAGGTGTCGACCCATCTCTTCTGGCGCCGCGATCCGGGCAATGTCGCGATGCGGCCGGCCGAACGCGGCATGGCGGTGAAGTACGGCTTGTCCTTCTGATACGCGGTCTTGGCTGGCGACGGCGCCAATGTCTCCCCATCTTACTGGCATGAAACGCTATCTCTGCTCGATCTCGTCCCCGTCATCGAGGGCGGCACGGTGGCCGTGCGCTCGCCAACGCCGCCGACCTCGCCGCCCATGCCGAGGCGCAGGCTTATCACCGTTACTGGACGGCCGAGCATCACGGCATGGAGGGCATTGCCTCGGCCGCGACGGCAGTCATGCTGGCGCATGTGGGTGCGGCGACGAAGACCATCCGGATCGGCGCCGGCGGCATCATGCTGCCCAATCATGCACCGCTGACCATCGCCGAGCAGTTCGGGACGCTCGATGGTTGTTCCGGGCCGCGTCGACTGGGGCTGGGCCGCGCGCCGGGATCGACCAGCGGGTCGCCCGCGCTGCGCCGCACGCTCGACAGCGATCCCAACGCTTTCCCGCGCGACGTGATGGAGCTGCAGAGCTATTTTGCCGATGACGGCCAGACGGGAATCGTCGCGACGCCCGGCGCGGGTGCACGGCCGCAAATGTGGATTTTGGGGTCGAGCCTTACGGCGCGCAACCGCCGCCGCGCTGGGCCTTCCTTATGCCTTCGCCTCGCATTTCGCCCGATGCGCCTGATGATGCGCTGGCCATCTATCGCCGCGATTTTCCGACCGTCGGCCGTGCTCGACAAGCCCTATGCGATGGCGGGATTCAACGTCTTCGCCGCCGATACCGACGAAGAGGCGGAGTTGCTGGCGAGTTCACAGCAACAGGCCTTCGTCGCGCTGCGCACCGGTCGCCCCGGCAGCTGCCCCCGTCCGTCCGGGTTACCGCCAAAGCCCAGGGCCACAGGGTGCGGCGATCCTCGACCATGTCCTGTCCTGCTCGGCGATCGGGAACCCCGCGACCGTCGAGCGGCAACTGGCTGCTTTTGTGGAACGGACTAAGGTCGATGAGGTGATGATCATCAGTTCGATCTTCGACCATGAAGCGCGCAAGCGTTCGATCAGAATCGCCGCGCAGGCGATGAGCGCACTGGAAAAAGTAGCGGCCTGACGGCTCACCACCCTCGCCCTTCCACCCCGCCAGCGTGGGCGGGAAGGGCGAGGATGTTTCGCTATAGGTGGCTCAGCCCCACCGCCGCCGGCAGCCTGGAGCCGCACGAGCAGCCCGCCCAGATCCTCGCTCTCCTCGGCGAAACGGTACCGCCATAAATCTCCGCCACGTCGCGGACGATGGCGAGCCCAGGCCCGTGCCCGGCTTCCCGTATCCAGCCGCACGCCGCGATCGAAGATGCGCACACGTTCGTTCTCGGGAATACCGGTGCCGTCATCCTCGACTAGGATTTCGACGAAGCCGGCCTGCGCCGCCACTGTCACGAAGACGCTGCCGCCGCCATATTTGGCCGCGTTCTCGACCAGATTGCCGAGCATTTCGTCGGTCCCGGCGCTCGACATGGACGACGAGATCCTTCGGTCCGTCCACATCGATACGGACATGGCGATAGAGCCGCCCCACCGCGCGCTCGACCGATTCGAGCTGGGCCAGACTTCGGCGCGGCTGTGAGCCGATCCCCGCCGGCCGACCGCACGCGCGCGCGCCAGATGGTGATCGACCTGCCGCCGCATCGTCCGCGCCTCGCGAATGACGGTATCGGCCAGATCGTCGGCGCGTGCGGTCGCGGCGTTCATGATGACGGTCAGCGGGGTCTTGAGCATGCGCCAGATTGCCCGCATGACGCCGCGCCTCCTCGGCCTGGCGCTCATTATGTTCGATCAGCGCGTTCAGTTCCTCGACCATCGGCGCGACCTCGTTGGGCATGGCATCCGACACCCGATTGGTTTTGCCCGCGCGCGCATCGCCGCGATTTCCTCGCGCACGCGGCGCAAGGGACGTAGCCCATAAAGGTCTGGAACGCCGCCATCAACAACAGGCCGATGCCGAGCAGTGCGAAAACGCGCACCAGCGTCCGCCTTAACGCAGCAATCTGAGCATCCAGCCCTTGCCGGCTTTGCGCGACACTCGAAACGCCAGCGCACATCTGAACCGGGCAGCTTCATCGTTCGACGATGCGCAGTTTTTCATCCGGGAACTGGCTGCTGTTATAGGTGGATGGCATCGTCATTGTGACGCGTGCCATAGGCAAGCTGGCGATCCCATAACGAGCGCGAGGGAAAGGCTTCGCGCCCCGGAGCAGAGACCTGGCAATAGACGCCCGACCCGGGGTTCAAGAAACGCTTGATCGCCCGGCTCGCGGCTGAACCATACTTCGCCCTGCTGGATCTCCGCCGAGACGAGCAGCGAACGCAGGACATAGGCCAAACGATCGTCGAAATTCTGCGTGATCGCGGACACCAGCACCCGGTCGAGGGCGAAACCGCCGCCGGCCAGCAGGACCATGATCCACCCGGCGGCGATCAGGGATCATGCGGCGCGACAGCGATCCTGCACGCCGCGTCAGGCGCGAGGTGTGATCGTCCTTCGCAAATGCCCGGATCAGGCCGCCGCGCCGCCCGCCGACGGATCGTCCGGGCTGTAGCCCAGACCCCGGATGGTGGTGATCCACATCCTCGCCCAGCTTCTTGCGGATGCGCGTCACGAACACTTCGATAGTGTTGGAATCGCGGTCGAAATCCCGGTCGTAGATATGCTCGATCAGCTCGGTGCGGCTGACCACCTTGCCCTTGTGATGGAGCAGATAGCTAAGCAGCTTATATTCCTGCGCAGTCAGCTTCACCGGCTCGCCGGCACGCGTGACCTTGCCCGAGCGGGTGTCGAGGCGAACATCGCCTGCCGTCAGTTCGACGAGGCATTGCCGCTGGCACGCCGGATCAGCGCGCGGAGGCGGGCGATCAGTTCCTCGGTCTGGAACGGCTTGGCGACATAATCATCGGCGCCCGCGTCCAGTCCGGCGACCTTGTCCGACCAGCTATCGCGCGCGGTCAGGACGAGGACCGGCGTGGTCTTGCCCTCCTTGCGCCAGCGGTCGAGCACGGTGAGCCCGTCAATCTCAGGCAGGCCTGGGTCGAGGACGATCGCGTCATAGCTTTCGGTGGAGCCAGAAATGCCCCTCCTCGCCATCGGTGGCGAGGTCGATGGCATAGCCCGCGCGCCTTCAAATGGCCTTCAACTGCTGGCCGAGATTGGGCTCGTCCTCGACGATCAGAACGCGCATCGCAAAACTCCCTGTGATCCCATGAGGTTGCCGGACAGGCTGGCATCACCCGTCGGTCCGGCTGATGACCTTGCCGGTGCGGCTGTCCACCTCCACCCAGATGACCGTGCCATTGCGCAGGAACTTCAGCGTGTAAAATGGCCCTCGGCCGCATCATAGTCGAAGCCGATATATTGCGAATCGCGCATGGTCGGCACCACCTGCGCCTCGATCTCGCGCAGCGACAGATTGCCTTCCTTGCGCTCGAAACGCGCGCATCTGGTCGCCACGGCGTTGATCGAGCGGCGCTTCGATCATCGGCGGCGAGCCCATCGGTGCGGCGAGCAGAGCCAAAAGGACGGTCATCGACATGAGGGGGTGACGCAAGGGGACAACCGTTGAACAGCCTCTGAATGGATCATGCAGCCGCGCGACGGCGCGCGAGGCGCTTGCCGGGTTCCTGCGCGCCCCTAACTGCAATGCCATCATGGCAGCACCCGTTCTTTCCTATGAAGACGGGCCTTGTGCAAGGCTCGGGCTGGCTCTTCCGGCATCTCGACATCCATATCGGTCCGCGCGACCCGGCTGGCGCTGATCGGGCGTAATGGGGGCGGGCAAATCGACGCTCCTGAAGCTGATCGCGGGATCATCGATCGGACGAAGGGCGGCGTATGATCGTGCCCGGCACCCATGTCGTTTATCTCGAGCAAGACCCTGACCTGAGCGGCTGCGCCACGCTGATGGACTATGTCCTGTCAGGAGGAGGCGCGCCGGAAAGCTACGAGGCCGAGGCGATCGCCGGGCAACTCGGCATCGACCTGACCCGCGAGGCATCGACCGCGAGCGGCGGCGAGAAGCGCCGGGCCGCGATCGTCCGCGCGCTGGCGATGAACCCCGACGTGCTGCTGCTCGACGAGCCGACCAACCATCTCGACCTCGCCGCGATCGAATGGCTGGAGGACTGGCTGAAGCGCTTCACCGGCGCCTTCGTGGTGATCAGCCATGACCGGACCTTCCTGACCCGCCTCACCAAGTCGACGCTGTGGCTCGATCGCGGGCAGATGCGGCGCAACGAGGTGGGTTTCGGCGGCTTCTGACGCCCGGACCGAACAAGTCTATGCCGAGGAACAGCGCGCCGCCGAGAAGCTCGACGCCAAGCTCAAGATCGAGGAGATTGGCTCCACCGCGGCGTCACCGCGCGGCGCAAGCGCAACCGGGGCGGCTGGAAAAGCTGCACCAGATGCGCGCCACCCGCGCCGCGATGATCGGGCCACAGGGTGCCGCCAAGCTCGGCATCGCCTCGGACGATGTGAAGACCAAGGAGGTCATCAAGGCCGAGCATGTCACCAAGCGCTATGGCGACCGCACGATCATCAAGGATCTGAGCCTAAAGGTCACGCGCGGCGACCGTATCGGCTGGTCGGGGCCAATGGCGCTGGCAAGACAACCCTGCTCAAGTTGCTCACCGGCGAGATCGAGCCCGACGAAGGCACGGTCTTCCTCGCCAAGACGCTGGACGGCGTCATCATCGACCAGCAGCGGAAATTGATGGCACCCGGAAAAGCGGGTACGCGAGGTGCTGGCCGATGGCGGCGACTGGATCGACGTGCGGGGTACGCGCAAGCATATCCATGGCTATCTCAAGGAGTTCCTGTTCGACCGTCGCTGGCCGAGGCGAAGATCGGCACGCTATCGGGCGGCGAGCGTTCGCGTCTGCTGCTCGCGCGTGAGTTCGCGCGCGAGTCCAACCTGCTGGTCCTCGACGAGCCGACCAATGATCTCGACCTCGGAGACGCTCGACCTGTTGCAGGAGGTGATCGGCGATTATGACGGTACCGTCCTGATCGTCAGCCACGACCGCGACTTTCTCGACCGCACCGTCACGGTGACGCTGGGCCTCGACGGGTCGGGCACAGTGGATGTGGTGGCGGGCGGCTATGCCGACTGGGTCGCCAAGCGCAAGGCACCGGCGGAGGCGAAAAAAGGCACCGACCAAGAGCGCGGCGGCGACGCCCCTCCCCGGCGCAGGCTGGGACCAAGCTCAGCTACAAGGACCAGCGCGATTACGAACTGCTGCCCAAGCGGATCGAGGAGCTGGAAGCCGCCATTGCGCGCGACGAGGCGAAGCTGGCCGACCCCGACCCCTGTGCCAAGGGACCCGGCCCAGTTCGACCGGCTGATGAAGGCGATCGAAAAGGCCCGCGAGGAGAAGGACGAGGCCGAGATGCGCTGGCTGAACTGGCCGAGCAGGTCGAGGCGCTGGCGGGCTGAGCCCCTGGCGCGCCAGCGCCTTATTTGGTAATGCGGGTGGTTGCCACGGCGTTCTGAAACAGGGTGTTCAGAGCGGCAGAAATATCGCCATCGGTCGTCACCTTGGTATATAGTCGGCGAAGCGCAACTTTGCAGCGCGGGCTCAACTTGATAAAGATAAGGCTCCACGGATCTTTCGAGATTGGTTGTTCCTTTCACGGCGTCACGCAATATTCCGTATAAAGAACAGCAATACGAATTCCGCGATGCTTAATCATATCGCATTTGGCGGTATCAAAAGCGACTTCAGGGCGGGCGCCTTTGGGACTTTTTTTTCGTTACGCATCCGTCGGTGACCATGAACACCACAGCTTGCGGATCCTGACCGTTTACCCCTGAGCCCGGTTGGGGGATCATCGCGTTGATTTGATCCATGGCGTCACTGGATCCAGTGTCCCTGTCATTCCAGCCGACTTCGCTCGATTTGCAGGCCGAAGTAGGGCAGCCAATGCTGGCATAATATGGCGGCTTCAGATTGGCGGCCTTATGACCGGCGGCGGTCAGGTCATTGGTCGGGGGTTGGCGCACGAAAACCCTCGCGCCCCGAAAGGTTGTGATCGCGATACGATAGTCCGATCCATTTTTGCTCGCCATGCGGGCGGTTGCCGTCAACTGATTAACGGCATCTCCTCCGCATCGATGCAGCGGCAGACCATAGGACAAGGCGACGTAGAGATCGGTCTGCTTCCCGTGAGCATCATAGCCTCTGAATCTCTTCTCGCCGGTATGACAGGCGAATACACATCGTGAAGTATTGCTTTGCGCGACCTTGTTGAGCCCGCTCGACGTCGTTGGCAGTGCCATTGAAGCCGAGACATCGAGCAGCATGTAAAAATCAATATCGGGGTGCGATCGCGTTGGCCGTTTCGATTTTCCAGAAATCGTCAGCGTCGACATGCCCAGAATGCGGGCAAAAACATTTTCTGAGGTCGCGCGATAATTGACTACTGCGGTACGACGGCCGTTGCCGTCTGTCGGAGCCTGTACCGTAACATTCGACAGCGTTATGCCGTCCGATTTTACCAAAGCCGCCGATTGCGGGGAGAAGAACGACCGGGCGAAATACGCGGCCGTGGCATCGTCCGCCCTCATTGCGTTCTTGCTGACGGCCAGAAGGGCGGCGGCATCGGCGATGGCATTCAGCTTGCTCTGCGCCTTCGCCGCTCGGGCGTAGTCGACGCCCATGCCGATCGAACATGTCAAGACCGGCAGGGCCAAAGCGAACATCATCATGACGTTCCCACGACGCTGGCGCAGCACGTTCGACCACGAATGGATAAGGGCTGGCGTCATCGTCACAGACAGTCCGGGCAGTCGATTTGATCGGTGTTGCGCGAATCATGTGATGAGTCCTTCAGGTTCAGTGGTTGATCGCGCCGAAAGAAATCGGCGGGGTGTAGGAATAGGTGACCTCGGCGAACAGGAAATAGATGCCGTCCATCCGCATCTCGGGCGGAATCACGATCGCGGTGCCGCGCTTATACGCCGCGACATTCAAGCCCCGGCTCCACACCACGCTTGTCCGGCCGTTGGAGGTTGCGACCTCCGTAACGCGGACCGTTGCCTCGCTCGCGGCATAAGGTAAAAAAACACCTGCGTGGCGACCTTGAGGCTATCATCGACCTCTTTTGCGGAGATTTTGCCACTCGTGTTCTGTGATCAGATCCCCGCCGCGCGCGTAGCGATGGTCACCTTGCGGTTGCAGGCGATACCGTCCTGAAGCTGAGCCCCGCCTAAATACAGGACCAGCATCACCGGCAGGATCAGCGCAAATTCGACCATCGCGACCCCGCGCCTGTCACGCAGAGCCGCAACGAAGCGCGGCACGGAAGGAATCACGTATAGACCTCCGATTTGGCGACCGACGTCGCCATCAGGACGGTCTGTCTGGTGCTTCCCGCCTTCGTGCCGGCGGTCGGCGCGACCCGCATCGGCCACAAATAGATGCGACGGATCATCACCATTGAGCCTTGCGTGCCGAGGTCATAGGAAAAGGCGTTGCTCGGCTTCCCATTGCCGTCAAACGTCAATGGCATCGCATTGCTGCCCAGCCCGGCACCGGTTGCGGCGCTCTTTACGTCGACATAAAGCCGCGAGCACGACATGAACGAAGGCAGCGCAGCACATCCGTTTATGCGAAACCGCTCGGCCAGTTGCGCCGAGGTCATGCCGGTGCTGCTACCCAACATCGCTGGCCTGGAGCCTGTCCGGTGACGACGCCACGCGCCGCAACCTGCACCGCACTTTCCAGCGCTTCCTGCGCAAGATAGGCTGTGCTCGTCTGGATAATCGCGATGAGCAATAAGAGAAAAGGCGTCGCGACCAAAGGCGAACTCGACGATCGTCGCGCCGCGCCGATCGCTCAGGATCGGTCGCCGGCCGCAGGCGCGGCGAATCGGGATGGAAAAAGAGAACCATGGACGGAGCGATCCTTATTCCTGTCCATATTGGTCAGAATCCGTTAAACTTCTGCAAACACGCCTGCCGAACTGACACAGACAGCATGCCCAGCGACCGCCCCGATCACCGCAGCGCGTGCCGGTAGAGCGCCAGCGTCCAGTCCATGGCCTGCAGAAACAACGCGGGGTCATAGCGCGGCCCCTCGTCGCGCAGAAAGGCGTGCTGGCCGTTCACCTCATGCCATTCATAACGGGCCTCTACCGCTTCCAGCTTTGGCGCGGATCGCCTCGCGCCCCGCATAGGGCACATGCGGGTCCTGCCGCCCCAGACGAACAGCGTTTCCGCCTTAAGCTCGTCCATACGCGCCAAAGCTGTCGTCGCTGCGCCCTCGCCCAGCGTGCCCGAATGGATATCCGGTGGCGTAGAAGCATGCCGCCGCCGACACGCGCGGGTCGAGCGCGGCGCGATAGGCCAGATGCCCGCCAGCACACGCCGAACGTACCCAGCCGCCCGTTGCACGCCGGATGCGCAGCCAAGGCCGTCAGCCCTGCCCGGCATCGGCGTCATGGGCCGCCACGGACTTGTGAATTTCAGGTCGTTGCCGCGATCGGTGCCGGGCTTGTCATAGGCGAGCACCGTGCCGGCGGGTTCATATTCGTGATAGACCTCGGGCACCGCGACGACATACCCTGCCCTGCCAGCATCGCCGCCAATCGGCGGATGGGCGCGGTCACCTGATAGATTTCCGAGAACAGCATCACGCCGGGAAAGCGCCCCTCGATGGCGGGGCGGAACAGATGCATCCGCATCGCGCCGCTGCCCGGCACCTCGACATCCTGATATTCGTCGCTGCGTAGGATCATGACCATGGCTTTCTGTTCGGTATCCCAAAGCCCCTGACATCCCCGGCCCGCGCGCACAACGGATTGCCGGCGCGGGTGAGCGGTTATCCTGCCGGCATCATGACGGACGCAATAGGCGC